TGTATGATGAAGAAGAGTCGGATCGTAAGCTGAAGGATCATTCATCCATGTGTCGGTTCGACGCGAGAGGAGGGTTTCTGAAGCTCAATCGATCTGCAAATAAGCTGAAATGTATGTAAATGCTGCACCATCTGTTAGGCTACAGCTTTCATAAAGGCAAATAAACATCAGAGGACGTCAAATGAATCGTTTCACGGCCGTGCGGTATGAAAATGTTTTTAAAAGTGAACTCATTACTCTTCACACATCAGTTACCTGAGCCAATCACTAGGGGGCGCTTTAGTACTGCTTGTTGCCAGGGAAGAGCGACGCAACAGAGACGGAGAAACGTTTGTGGCTGATCTTCATTTACATAGGTTGGATTATTTAACTAAATAAGTAAATAAATAACTTTGATTATTTTAAAATCGTGAGGGTAATTCTCCCTCACTTTGCTGACTTGGAAGACACAAATATTATCTGACATGACGAGCTTCGTCTCTTCTGAATAGCGGCCCAAAAATATCACATGACAACTTTCTGATCAAGATTTTAATAAAAATTTCCCTACAAATCATAGCTCTTAAAGAGCATACCACTCTATATTAAGCCAAATACTATTTCTAACCATGTTCTAATGAGTTTGCATTAATTTGCCAATTTGTATCAGATGTAATTTATATTTAAGAAATATTTTTGAAATACTTAAGACAGTCTTTCAAAGTTTAATTTGATTAAATTTCAAAACAAAATCACCGGGGTAACATTCAATCTCGCCTCAATATCCACATTTATCAGAAGATTCTATATCATGATTATTGAGGGAAAACATTTTTTTTTATCACAATTGGTTTTTAACATCATTGTCACAATTATTATTGGTAGCGGCAGTATTTATAATAAGTTTATTATGTAATTTAGATATTGATTTGTATTTGTCTCCATCCCGCTCAGAATACCTTCTGTTTTAATTGACATGTCAGGGATAAATTGAAGCCTGGACACAATGCATCAAGCATAAAATGTTTTTTTATTATTATTATTTTAACCACCATTTTAATTAACTTATTCTGTTCTGATGCTTTTACTGTGAAGGTTTTGTCTTATTCATGTTATTAATAATGACACAAACGTGGTATTGCTTTGGCCGCTCAGCTGAATGAATACAACGTTAGCAATCCAAACCAATGTGACAAACCAGACGACCCTAAAGAGCATCAACGTCCATTGAGATGTTCGTGAACTGTTACCTGCTGGTAGATAGTGACAGCTGGATGAGAGGGCTGCTCTTTTTTTTTTTTTTTTTTTTTTTTTTTTTTTTTTAAAATTTTGGGGGGGAAAAATTTTTAAAACCCTGTCCTTTTTAAGTTAAAAAGCCC